CGCTTTTTTATTGAATAGGACTGTACCTCACAAATTCAACTTGTCTAGGAATTATACAAATTTTCCATCCAGGCCTTCTCATACATTCCATCCATATTATTATGAGAATGGTTGATATTTCCTTTGGAAAATTGAATAAATGAAATCCATTCTCTACAGAACTCCCACAATTCATTACACAGCCGGACATTTTCATTTATGCTTTATGGAATAGTTGATAATAACAACACCTCAATATAAACAAAATGGTGGTGGATCAAGGCAAACTCCATTCATTCGTAAAAACCGCTGAGTGCTGAGTGCAAATCGAACACTCAATACTTTTTCAATCTTTCTTGATCGGATTGGGTTGGAATAGTTCTTTCAACTGATCAAAGATCGAGCATTCCTTCCTTCCTGTGAAATATTTCACTCCACTTTGAGCAATATGGACTTCTACCAAAGATTGATGAAAGATGTACATATCTGAAACCAGGACCTTTATCTTCACTCGTATAACTGTGCTAACAGTATAGCTGCTTAGATACAATACAATTACTTCCGCCTCTATATCAGGCCAATATTTTATACGAAACTCCTTCTACCTGTGTGGGTGCTTGAACATACATAGTGGAATGTAAAATAATGGGAATATAGATGAAATGGTAGGAAGAGGAGCCCATAGCATAGCAAAATATCCTTATAGAGAGCAATCTCGGAACAAATCGTCAATTAAAACCTCGGGTGATGTCGAAATCACTTTTGCAAAGAGTTTAAAGACTATAATTTCAATGCGCACAAAAACTCGTTCTATTACTCTACCCCATTACATTTTCGACATCTACTCTCGTTTCTCTTTATTTTGCATAATAAATATTCATGACGCAGCTCTGCTGTCTTTCTTCGTCTAACAGAACCGATCGAACAAAAAATGTTGGATGGCGATTGACAGCGCGGATAGAGGATAGAGCTAGATTGGTACTACTGGTAAGACTAGTCGAGGGGTTTCATTAAATCAACATGCCTTCGATGGGACTTCAAAAGTGACTTCCTTTTCAGAGTAGCCGAGATGTGTAGAGGCGGACCTATTACAGCTATTTCCTCCAAGATCCTCTCATTTTCTACGACTAAATGTTGGTAGAAGTCGATCATTGCTCAAAGTGGAGTGACAGAATGAAAAGATGAAAAGAAACACTAAGTCATACCCACGAATTTTATAATGTTTATACGTTTCAGAAATAAAGAACCTCCTCTCAAATCTATTTGGAGTTATAAAGATAACAGATGTTACCATGAACTAAAAAGAATGGTGAGAATAACAATACTGAAACTTCTTTGGATGCCTTAAACAATTTAATATTCCAGTTCTTGCTAACAACAGAGCTGGAACATTTTGGAACACTGTACTGTAATACTGAGTGATTCTACAACATAGATTCCCACAATTTTATAGATAATCTATACTAGTTTTATAAAGATATATGTAGCTCCTGTATCGGCACTATCGTACAATATAAACGCGAGTTTACAAAGGAAAGAAGTATGCCGAATTTGAAAAGGATCACTTCTGAATTTCCTTAGAAATGGAATAAGAAATGGAATATTGAAGTTTAAATAGGCTTCAATGCCATTATTTCAAGTTATGATGTAGTTTTAGAGGTTATTTCATTATTTTGTAAGTCTACATATCTCTATCACATCTCAAAATTAAAGTATACAAATCTGGATCACCCTATATAGATATAGAAATTATGCACATATTGTACTAATATAATTCACAAGTAAATTATTTGCAAATACCAAATTTCAACGTTGATCATAATAAATGTATAAGAAACATTGATTGAATAGTTGTACTCAAAAGAATGCATTGAGCTTATGTGAGAAGAATTATGCAATGAAGCAGGCCATCAAACTTCAAAAATGTTGAAACATGTTATTCTTATTTGCCATTCAGATTGACATAAATATACAGTGTGTCCACCTTGAGGACTTGCCACCCCTGTAAAATCTTTAGTAACTGACCGATTTCAAAAAACTTTTCTTTTGTTGGATAGGTATTTGAAATGTCAATCCAAGAAGAGAGTGATTTTATTCTTGGACTGTTATCATGGCCAACTTCGACTATTAGGGATTTTTTTTTTCACAAAAAATAATAATGGATGAGGATTACTTCAAACATATCTGTATCAATTTTCTGCATTACAATAAGTAAAATAAAAAAAAAATGAAAAGAATGAGTAACCAACATATTTGATCATAATTCTTCACTCTGGATTCTGAATCAGGATCATTCAAAATACCCATGTAACAATTTTCATCATCAATAAACACAGGGTTGCAAAAAAAAGGAATAAGTATACTTTTTAGTACGTGATCAGAAATATAATGTACTGTCGTATTTTCGGACACCCTGTGTTTTATGATGATGAAAATCGGTACAGGTATGTTTCAAGAGATCCTGATTTAGAATCCATAATTATTTTTCGTGAATAAAAATCCCTAGTACTTTCTGAAATATAGGTCAATAAAATTTGTCGCAGTTGGCCACGATAACTGTCCAAGCATAAAATCATTCTTTTGTTCCAATTAAAAAAAGTTTTCGAAATCGATAAGTTAATAACGATTTCACAGGGGTGGTTAGCCCTTAAGGTGGACACACTGTATATTTCACATGCTCATTCTGCAGACATCCTGTATATTGAGCTAGCACCAGCTAATTGCGCCGCATTCTCAACTTCTCGAAATCTTCCATGAAAACTATATTATTCTCATAATCTTCGCTTCCTAAGTTCAGCGGTTATATTTCATAATTCAATTCGATTACTGTAAGTACTCATTTGCGGAATTTCATGATTGTGTTGTAAACAAGGCGTACTATTGTCGCACGTCGAAAGCAATCCATTTGTTGAAAATAAAGATGATTTCACGCTTCAGCGAATTAGATTGAGTGTGATAGCTGTTGGGAGACCAAATAGAGACGATGTTGAGATCTTTATCGGATTCTAAGAGTCTTCGTACAGACAAACTTCGCAAATTGCTTGTCGAGAGCGGCAATATGGGGTCTACAGGGTGTTGAGACTCAACATGGAGAGCAATACACAAATTCCCATCCGATGGAAAATGTTCTTCAATCGAGAACAAGTCATCATCATGTCTGAAAGCCAACTGCCCCAAGATGAACTGGGAATACAGAGGAAATTTATTAAAGATCTGTTTTTCCAAAAAAAATGTAGTTAGCTTTCTATGGTGGGTACCGGGTAGTCCACAACCCAGAGTGAAGGAAAATCAAATAGCAGACAAGCTTGCCATATAGTGCTATGAGATATGCACCAGTTCCATACCTATAGGAAGAGATTCGGAAATAATATGGTATCTGTCATTTGGAGAGAGTTCTTCGAAGACTTAGACATGTTGAGAAACTTTTGGAAGATAATAACCAAAATATATATAGGGGAAATGTGCCTGAGTTGGCATACCAGACGAGTCGGCTACTAAAAATTTTGCAGCGCAATTAACAATTAACCTTCTCTTTCTGTTCCTATTGTGTACCAGCCTGCAAATGTGTTTGTGATAGGTTTTTTGAAGCTAAGAAATGTTCAATTTACTCTTATAACTTGCTGCAAAACATAAACATCCAATATTTTTTTTAATTTCAACAAACGTAAATCGATTTTGTAAACCTAACCTCGAAAATCTACGGTATAACCCACGGTTGTGAGTAAATCGGTCTCATTTTTAGAAAAATGTTTTCGGGCCAGTTGGCATAGTATAGTTTGGGGCTAGTTGGCATAATATGCCAACTCACCCTTTCGTAATAAATGGGCCCACTGCGATCGTTCAGGTTGCTCCTTCAAAACAAAGCAGTATATATGTGAACTTTTTGTTTAGCTTAGGTATGTACCTACTTCCTACTCTGTTCAAACTGTACTTTTTTTCATCAATAATATTTGTGTTTTTAGTAACTAAGTAAGTAAGTATATGAACTTCGTTCGATCGAAACTAAAGTTTTAATCTTTTCCTGAAGATGCTAACATAGTTAGCGAATCACGTGTCGAGGCGTAAAAGAATCGGTTTGGTTAGTGATAAAACAGTGTATAGTGTATAATATACTATTCTGACAAAGCAAGTTTGATAAAAAATTACATAAACACCATCGAATATTTGTTCATAACGTTGGTTGTCATGCTTTCAAATGTTGAGTTTCCATTTTGTCGCTCGAAAAGTTATGGCACATTTTGTTCGCTGGCAGTTTTGGCATTTTTCTTTTTTTAGTAAGAAATAGATTGTACGCGTTGAATGAAATAAGATTCATTTTGTGAATTCTGATTGAAACACTGAATTTTCTTCGATCGTCTGAAGGGGTAATAATCCCCATAACCCCCCCTTATATACGCCCCAGTTTACTAGCTATTTGCTAATTCATAGTAGGTTTAGGACTACACGAACAGACTTCATCGATCGGTCATCATTAAATGGAATCGATGAGGAAATTGAATCGTTTCCATTCTGTCTCGCTCTGATAAAACTCGTAGATTTGCCAATACCCTTTACCCTTTGTTTTGTTCCATGTTTCCGTTTTGACGCCTTAACGCTCCATTGTCATCGAGCATAATACCGCATACCTACCTACACTCCTACACCACTCTCGATAATTACAACTATTGCCACTCCAGTCCAGTCGTTATTCATGAAGAACTGCACGAAAATGCCCTTCTCATGCTAAAGACCACCTTCGCCACTGGCCAGCACAGAGTTCGTGAACGTTCTCTCTCTTTCTCTCTCTTTACACGCTGTAACCCAGATCTTCTGTCTTTGTCCACACACCTTTTGTACCTATTCCACCGCATAACAGGTAACCAAAGGTGTGTGTAACGCTACAACTCACTGCAGAAAGATTTTCATTTTAGTCCATTTCGGCAGGCAGCTGTGCTAAGAACGTTCTATAGTTGTTTGCTCAGTAATCCGCGACTACGTGCTATGGTCTTCTGTTTCGAAGCAGATTTGTCTAGTGTTCTGTGATGTTTTGTGGCGGCAGTTTCAGATCGAAAATCTTGGAGACGAACGATGAATATCGCCGGGTCCAGGTTAACGAGAGGACAGTCAAAATAATGAGGTCCAGCAGCTTGAATGCCGGTGATAGGCCTCTAAGGAGGGTGTTCGTTTTGCCGCCGAAAGTACCAGTGGACGCTAATAAGATCTGTTTCAAGTCACACTTGGTTAGTAAGGTTAGTGATAACTGGCAAGAAATTGACAAATAATATTAATTTCAATCTTCGAAAATAGTGAGCTGTATATATTTCGATCTCCTAGAATAGTGAGCTGTACATCAGATCTGTTGTCATTGTTGTAGCTTTTTGGGACATCCTGTATATTATGCTATATGCTTGCGAAAACGTGGTTCCGTGTGGGCAACTGGGTCTATAGTTAACTGTGTGCACGTGTAGATATACAAATAATTGTACACATTGTTCTCGAAATTATCGTATTTCGTGCAAAATGATGTATCCAATTTTTCGTAGCAGAGCGCTTTTGACTATAAAGTCATCATCAGTTCGTATCGAGGTTCGTATACATACTTACCTGTAAGAGAGAAATCAGCTTCTAGCTTCAACAGCTGGTCTGTAATGCTAGAAATTTGAATAGTTATCAATCAAAGGGTGTTAAGTAGGTAAACCTCTAAGAAAACCATGACCTGGCTGGCCTCACCCTTGCACGTCACCATACCCCATATTTTTCGAAGTGTGAAAATTATTAAAAAAATAAACTAAGCGCTTTAAATTTAAAATTTCATTATGATGTTACGTAGGCATTGTAGAATGGAGAAAAAAAATTGACAGGCGATTTGGATCAGCAGATGTAGTTGACAGGCGAGGTGCCAGGCGAGTCCAAAAGTGGGGGGAAGTATAATTTGCTGACTAAAATTAGAGTTTGCTCACCAGACATTCCTATTCATATTTGATAGTGAAATTATTTGAATAGATACATTGTTGCTACCGGTGAAATAAATTCAATTCACCTCCTCAGAAAGATAGTTTACTCTAAAAATGTTTTTCAAAAATCCTTGCTGACCGAGCATTTCTGCTTCGACTTTTTGCTTTGAATTACACGAAAGGCGAGTGGAATATTGTTTTTTATTTCAGAAATAGAATCATCACACAAATAATTTTCAATTTTATATTTTTTCAGAATTTTTCGGTCGATTCCAAGATGCTAAAATCATCAATAATGCCAAGGCAATTTTGAAACAGCTAGAAATTGACCGCGATTTCGTGAGTAGGGGCAGACCATATGCCATATGTCGAAATACGATTGGGATCTTCAGAAATATTAGTGATTCAATAATTCATAAATTCTCAAGAGAGAAGTATGTACTGGTAATATTCCTAATTAGCAGAAAACATTAATTTCTGTCTCAAAATGTTTCCTCATGTTTTGTGGCTTATTGCATAATTATATTAGTTCACTTCTTGTCAGTTCTCAGCATTCAGCACAATGTTGCCAAGTCTCCAACATTCACATGATATTTCTTTATAGAGTATAACAAATATTAGGACATGCCGATTGCTCAAAAAAGTCAAGATTGAACTATAATTAATATCATGGGTTCCTTCTATATGACCGAGCATTTCTGGTTGGAATTTTTGCTTCGAATAATAACATATTTGAACATTTCATATGGATATTTAGTTGACATCGAGGCAATAATTTCCATAAACCCCTTAAGAGAGCCAGTTCATTCCTGTTGTTCTTCAAAAATCCTTGCTGACCGAGCATTTCTGCTTGGAGTTTTTGCTTCAAATTGCATATTTGAACATCTCATATAGACATCCACTTGTCACCAAATGAAACAAAATTGAACTGACCCTCCTATGGGGTAGATCAGGATTATTCACTAACTTAATGTCAACTAAATAACCACAAATGCTCGGTCAGTAAGAATTTCTGAAAAACAAATTGAGTATACCACATCCCCCTTCTGAGCGGGTGAATTGAAATTATTTCACCGGTAGCAACAATGTATCCATCCAAATAATTTCATTGTCAAATATGAATCGGAATGTCCGGTCAGAAAACTTTAATTTTGGTCAGCAAATTAAATTTCCCCCACTGTTGGACTCGCCTGGCATAATTTCAAGTTTATTTTTTTAATAATTTTTACACTTCAAAAATAATGTGGGATGGTGACGTGCAAGGGTGAGGCCAGCCAGGTCATGGTTTTCTTACTTAACACCCTTTAATTCATCACTATAAAAATCGTTAGCCTTACAGACAAACCAATGACGGCTAAATATCTAGACTGTCTGACGGGTTATTTATATATGACTCGTCAGACAGTCTAGATATGTAGCCGCCATTGGACAAGTAGACAAAAATTAGTAAAAGTGAGGTTACTTACTCGTCAGGTTGACAAGAAAATAATCCATAAAAATATCAGCAGTGGGACTCTGTAACTTGTGTCGCATAGCGAAAGCATAGCGAAAGCGAAACGAAGCGAAGTATACGACTTCGCTTTCCGGTACTCTATATGTAGTTCGTTATGCTTTCGCTATCGTCATACGATTTCATACGAAATAGAACGAAGTTGATGGAGTTAAATTTGGCAACAGTGTTGCGGATCCCATTTATTCAAAGGAAACATCCCATTGGATCAAAAAAGCGGCATTTACGAATTATTGTATTGTTAATTTTTGGTTTCGATCAGAAATGAAGCACTTGGAGAAGTTTCCGAGAGAAAAGAAATTCAATAAAACATCAAAAACACATATGAAGATGATTTATTTCTATGAATTGGAATGAATGTATTGACTACAAACAGATATTGACATCAATGCCAACAAAAATAGTAATCAGCCAAACAAGAACTTATTCTGCACAGAGCAGCTCATTGGAAAATATGTACCTACTTTGTTCATATGAAAAATTGGTATTTATATTCTCACTAGGTATATCTCAGGTATAGCCTTCTATTTATATGCAACTAGTAAAGGCTTATATTTATAATGGACATATCATTCTATAATCTAACACTCAGTATATTATTATTTACATACTATAATGTATTACCTATCAGAACTTGCTTCTCTATGTTGCAAATTAAACAAGATGATAAGCACATATAATTCCTTGAATCGCCTTCTGCAAGGCAGCTATATGTTGACAGTGCATTTATACAGATGCACTTTTTCTTACAGTTCACTTTAGAATCTTGGATGGAATTATTAATGTAGTGAAAGTAGAATTCGTTCTTGTTCTTGTTCAACATAGTAAATAATGTTCAGTTAATCCTGTTTCATGGAATTTACTCTTGATTCTCCCTTATTGGTACACATTAATATTACAAAGTTCTTCTTGGGTGTCTCCAAGGTTTTTGCTATCCAAATTATTTTCCCTTCCAATGCACTTATTATGCAAATTTTTCAAATTTGAACGTTCCAGGCTTTCTGTTATGTTTCACTGTTGTAGGTATCGGCATATTATATTAGTAGGATTCTTTAATTACCTATTATTGTCTTCTTCAATGGACTCACACCAAAGACATATTTTTCTTAACAAGGATTCAGTGAGACAACATTCAGTAATGGCACATTTCAGTTTTTGGAGAAGCTACTTATATCTGCCTGTTTTGATGTATCAGGAATCTAAAAGAGAAGGATAATTCGAATGAATATGAATATTCCAGACCCTATTCAACAGCACTAATGACAGTTTTCAGTTTATTTTTCAACTACCAAATGAGCTGTATGTTTTCATCAATCATCACACTGTCTATCATGTTTTTTATCTCACGTCTCACGTTCTTTCATCCCCTACCTTAATCCTACCAAAGGGAACTTCCATCTCTCTGTAATATCTTTAGGATTTTGTTCGTAAAACTGAGGAATCTGTCCCACTGACTGAGTTGTGTTTTTGCTCGCTTCGTTATCCATGTTTGGGTTCATTCCTCATTTATTAATCTATTATTTTTCTCAAATCAACACAAAGTTCGAACTAGGAACAACAACAAAAACCAATACCCATAACCTCAATCGTTGAAAATCGCAGAAAGCGGCAACCAAAATCCTTCGCTTCTGCTTCGCTTACGAACTCACGTTCGGCGTCTCCGACCTCATCCGAATATTGATACAGAGTACCGAAACGGCAAAAGCAGTCGATTACGCATGCTTTCGCTTTCGCTTTGAGTTACAGAGTCCCACTGCAGTTTAGAGTTTATTGTAAAGAAATTTGACACTTTCAAAATACCAAACAGGTGCAGATTTATAAAAAATATTTTAAAAACTCAGGATCTCTACGCGAAAAAATAAATGTCTGAGACATGATTCTTGATTGATCGTTTGTTAGTAATTATACGATTTGTTAATGCGAAACGGGATTAATTTAAAAGTTGAAACGCCGGAGGGACATTACTAATCATAATCAATTATGAAAGTTTTTCCGCTCGTCGTTGGAAAACTGGATAGGGAATTGTGGCACGATACAGCCTTGTTTATGAGGTTCAAATCGAGTTTCGACTTGTTTGGTCACGTTTTTACGATTGTGGTCTCAAGAGCCATCCCATATGTGTTAGCTGGAAGAGGGTGATCAGCGGGGTGTTTTTTTTATGAGATGTACGAATTATTACCGCTTATAATAGATTTTCTGAACCTAATCTCATATTCGCGAAAATCACGAACCAAAAGATGGCGCCTGTCCAACGTCAAATTTCAAAATAGAGGTGAACAACAAACTGTTGTCACTTAGTTGTCACATAATATTTCAGAAAAATGCCTAAAGTTGAAGTGTCCATCGCGGATATATTAGAATATATTGGCGATAGGGTGAGACCCTTGAAAGAAGGAGAAGCAGTGTTTAGAGCAGGTCACATTATATTGTGTGGGGTGGATGCAGAACAAACGCATGTGATCAAAAGCTTGTGTTTACAATCATCTGCATTAGCAGAGTCTCCTCATGAAATAAGTATCATCCCAAATGAAAAAAAACATTTTCGAATGCAAATGTACTTGCCTTAAATGAAATTTGCAAGCATAGATGTGATTTAAAGAAGTTCAATTCCTTAAACTTTACCTTCAGTTAAAGATTTATTGAAGGATGTAAAATCACTACAAACGTACATATTATTGGTTATTGGTTTACCAATCTTCAACAAATGCCTCCATCTTTTACACAATTTGGGGTTCCAAAGTGGAAATTTGTGTAAAGAAACACTGTCTGTACAATATGAA